AAACGTCGATGTGATCGGAAGCAGAAAATTGTTGTTGATGAGATAAGTAAATTCTGTTGTTATTAATATCGTCCTGAGTGAAATTTGAGATTACTTGTGACCCTTTGAAAAGTTTAACACCATTGCTACCAAACTAAAATGCTTGAAAATGATTAACTTCACCAAAGAAATACAAAATAATTTTAGTAAGAATTTTATACGAAGGAAGTTGAATTTTTGATAGTATAAAGGGAATGAAAAATGCAAGTAATGCATAAATTACTTTTAGTCCTGTAAAGTTTATATTTACAACCTGTTTGAATGATAACAGTTACTTATTGGTTTTCGTGATAACATTAAACAAGTAAATAAAAAAATAATAATTGAAATTAGTATATGGAATATTTTTTTAAGTTAATTCATTTTGTTGTTCTGAGAATTTAAATTCGCGGGACAGTAAGTTGAGGTCGATTGAAGAGAAGATTTTTATTAACCTGAAAATGTTAACAAATTAATAACAAAATTACCTGTATTAGTCGATATTCCAAATTAGATGGCTTTATTTCTGGGTGGGTTAAGCGGAAAATGTTTGAAGACAACAGGTAATCCTTTCCAGTAACTAAGTTAATCCGATCAGGAAATGCTTCAATCTAAAAACAATTAAATTTCAAACTGACTTGAATTACTCGAATAATAACTTTTATAACGAATTAAAATATTATGAGTTTTTTACATTTATTTCATTAATTTTTTGATTAAATAAGTTAGTTTTGTACATATAAAGCATTAAATAGTCAATATATTTTAAATATAGACTTTATTTACGAAAATTTACTAAAAATTTGCTCCAAAAAAATTTTTTTTCGATAATCTATACATGTTCTTATTTGGTCACATATTTATTTATGTAAAATCAAAACTTAACTTCATGAATGGGTCGTCTTCTGCTAATACTTTTACTGTTAATTTTACTCGTAAACGATTTGTTCGACGACTTGCATCATTTCTTGGTAAGATATTGATAAATATTTCATCTGTTAATGCCATATTACTTTTCTGATGACGATAAATTAATGATCGGCCACTTAACAATTGTGTAAGTTTCATCAAATCCGTGTGATTAGCAATTCTATTCAATAGATCCAGATGTCCATAACGTGGTTTACGTGGAAAATTTACCAGCAGTTCGTCTCTAAAGTTTTTCCATATAAACTTCATATTTATGTGAGATTTATTGATTGCCAAACTTCCACCTGAAAAATTAATAGTATTAATTTTTTCAAGTTGTGACTATCATTTAAAGAAATATTTGAGAACATACTAATATATCATTTTAAAGAAATAATTAAACTCTTGTAAACGTGCTCTAATACTGATTAATAAGTTACTGTCAGCAGTGATTCTTCGAAATGATTGATAGCTCCTTGTTAGTTTGAATTATTGATAAAGGAATTAGTATTTAATATTTCTTACAATCACAATTTTTTTAAACTTTTTTGAAAAAAAAAGCTGTTCCATCATTAAGTTTATCACTAATAATGATTTAATCGTTTTCGTAATTTTGAATTTCAAATAATTGAACCCTTACCATTCGTTACTGTAATATTTTCAAGTTGTACAAATTCATGAATGCGATTTGAGGGTAATGCCGCATATGTGATTGATATTTTAAAACGATGTTCATCAATTACAGTCGACTCATCAAAAGTATCATTTTCAATGAAGATTTTGAATAAAAACATATCACGTTTAGTCCATTCATCTAAGAATCCAATGTCCAGTTTATATACCAATCGTCGATTATTGATATCTTCTTGAGTAAATTTTTGAGTAGGTATGCCTGAGAGTAGTAAATGTCCATATCGTGGAATTTTTGACACTGAATAAGTGATTTCATGAGGTTTTACCTAAAAAACATGCTATTTCAGCTACCGATTTCTTATTCAAACGTTGCTTGTCGCAAATTATTTCAAAGATATAAGTTACAGCCTATTAGAGCATTAAAAATAGTGCTAAATTATACTTTTCATCCTTTAATACTGTCATTACTTTAATTTTTTCCATTAAAAATGAACATTTTTTATTTTTTAATTACCTAAAGGAAAAATTTTAATGTATTTTGTTAAGTTAGCAGAATTAGATTAAATTGAAGCATCACAAATAAACTTGCATTTGGTAATTGAGCTTTTAGTAAATCAGAGCTGATGATAACTGGAAATTGACCAGGTGGAATTACTAAACGATTATTTGTCTGAATTCCAGCTTTCATTTCTGGTGAAATATCAATTGTAAACCATTCAGGACCAATTTGGTGCAAGCCATCGCTTACAAGGAATGAAAAACCACCAGCAGACGTAGATCCTAAAAATTCCGATGATATTCAAAATGGCTTAATTTTCCTATAAATGGAAAAGCAAAATTAACCTTTATTTTTTATAAAAACTATTTGAGAATCACTGATTTCTGCTTGAGAAAAATTTGCTATTGACTCCAAAGGATTATTTATGCGGGCAATATAACCATTTAAAGGTTGATTAATAATATATCGTATTTGTTGAGCTGATGTGTCATCATCCTTAATTAATTAATCGATTAATTAACAAACTAATTAGCTTAATAATTTGTTTTATTTATAGTAAAGAAATTAAATTACAATAAAAGTTTCAATAAAATGATAAGTATTTCTTTATCAATTTGAACCTGTGAAAATAAATGCTGTTTGGTAATACGAGCTTTAGATGTATTCCACATTTTCAATACTTCATTACGTAACAATTCAGGTTCTGGAATTTTTTCCCATCATGAATATATTAAGAGATATTCTTGCTACTTTAATTTTTTTTTATTTATTAATTAAGTAAATGATTCGCAAAAACATTTGAAGTCATATATGATTAGCTAAATTCACAGTTTGTTTTCTTATAAAAATTTAGTTTCTAGATATTTAAGTTTAATTCCATTCTTTTCAAAACAACATATTTGGTATTTAAATTTATTTTTTGCTGATGAAATTCATTATTAATCTGAACTAACATGAACTTCTACTTCATTAAAAATAATTAATGAAATATTCATTTTTTTGAAAAATATTTTTTGTTACGTAAATCTTACATCTGATATAATCCGATACTGTTCATGTTATTCAGAATAGAAAAAAAGCTAACCATGAAAATTTTGGTATTTTATCATAACAAAGACTTGTTTCGGTTCAGTACATCTTAACGTCCCTATTGTACAGGCTGCTACAGTAAAACTATCCAATTGTTGTCGACTTTTTGGGTCGTTTACGTAATGAACTCGTAAATCACGTAATTCTTGGTTATTAAATTGTCTAATTGAACTGATATTGGCTAAATTCCAACTGTCTCGAACAATCCAACCAAATTCGGGATTCGAAAAAATGCGGAATTCACTTTCGTTATCACTAGTAGTTGTTGCGCGTAGAATAGCGTTGTTAATTACTTTACTTAATCCAAAAGTGACAGTCATATTTGATACTGATAGATCTATCTAAAATTTTAACCACAATGAATGACAACCCTTGAAAAAATATCATGGAAAATTATTTCAGATCACGTTATTTTTTGACCTATATTTTACATTTTATTTCTGTTGAGTTGTGTTTATTTCTGTCTTTCAAGCATAGATTTTATATGCTAATGTCAAATTACCCTGTTTCTTGACTTCATTTCTAATGTTAAATATGGAAAAATCAGTCACAACACTAATTTGAAGAAAATTTTTTGAGAAGTATTTTTCAAATAGAAGACATAATTTTGAATACCAAGTAATTCAATACCAAAGTGATGGAGCTCTAAAGAATAATGATATGCTTACTTCATCGTCTACAACTTTGATAAATAGTGTGAAAGGTCCGATCATTTGATCTTCTACTGAAACGTTAAATACGATTGAATCACGGACTGGTAACACGTCATTGTGTAAGTACTGAATTTGTTTTGCATTCACGTGTGCTTGAGTAAAACGTGAAACGAAAAAACTGCTTGGCATTACTGTTAGTCCATTATTTGCTGCTTAAAAAAGGATTTTTTTGAAATGCCAACGTTTAAAAAGTGGCAATAGATAAAATGCAATTATGATACTATCTATCTGCACTAGGACACTGAAATGACCTTTCTAATATATAATGGGATGACCTTCATGAAATATATTATTATTTTGAGTAGTTTCTTTTTTTTTACTAATTAGCCGTATGTATTAAATAAATTTTGCTAATACTTTTACACCTCATATAATAAAAACTATTCAAAATGGCTAGTACATTTTTAAAAAATGTATACATTTCTAAAATATTCCAATAGTTATTATTTATCATTTCAAAAAATGATTACTACATCTCAGGGAGGTCATTAGAGATTAATAATATAAAACTGTTATATTTTTGAGATACTGAAAAAATAGACGTAATATTTTTATTAAATAAGTGATAATAAGTGATTATTCAAAAGAATAATTTTTGGTGCAGTTTAAAAAGTTGTAAACCTTTTACTGTTTCCAGAATTAATGATCCATGAGTTGGTTGCTTGATTACATCGAAGATAATTTCGGTAGGTTCCTTATTTAAAGCTTTTGCCAGAAGTATACTTTTATCAATCGGTGAAATTGACGAAAGTGGAACAATTAAAAGTTTTAATGTGATTAATTCTAAGACACTTGTTTTTTTATCCAAATAATTTCTTGAGATTTTAAAATTTTCTATCAAACTTAAATTCTTTGCAGTGATAACTGTGATTAAAATCTCTTCGTCCATACTTCCCTCAATAAATGGATTAACACGATAAAATATTCGTCCTTCGTCAATATCCTGCAAACTTTTTCTTCAAAAAAAAACCATCAAAATAATTCATACATTTTTTTAATTGCAAAATAAAACTTTTCATAAAAATCTGCTAATCTGTTTACAATTTTTTACCTTACAAAAACATTACAGTCCAAAAAATTTATCTCTTCAAAGGATTGTATGCAACTTATGACAAAACACAAACAAAAGCTAAAATATCCCACGGTTACATCAGTTCCAGAAGCCGGAAATAGAGCTACGTGAAGGCACATCATACAAAACGTCGAAAACGTAGTAGGAATTATTTTACTTTTTTCAAAAAAATGATTCTATTGTAAGAATAAAAAAAAATTTTTTGATATTAAAACAAGAACAAACCTCTTGTGTGAAATTGCTTACAAATTTTTCAGTTGAATTGACAACGAGAATCCAATTTTTTGACGCTACTCGAAAGACAATATCAGATCTTTTTGAATCAATGTTGGTTGCAGCGGAAAGATTATGTTTTGTAATTAATACTGTAGAAAGTAATGATGGAGTTGTAGAAGAAATCATAATGCTATTATTCCTAACCTCTAGAAATGGTTCAGATGCAACGACAATCAGTTCAGATGATATTTCATGTACTCCATCTGATACTGTATATCTGTAATTTATAAATAATAAGTTTCAAAAATAAGAAAAAAATATTAAGTGCTCTATAATAATTAATATTAAATTATTAATTCTTTAAGTTCTTAAATATAATTACAAAAACATAATCTTTCCGTAAATATTTTAATCAGTATCTTAATTTTATTAAAAAAAATTCCATCAGTAAAATTTTATTCAGTGATTATAAATTTCAAAAATTTAATTCCCACAGAAGCAATTATTATTTTTTCCTGATTTTTATCAAAATACGAATTTTACTTACTTCATTTCTAATCTTTTTACTGGTCCTAAATGACGTATAATTATTTCTCCATTTTTCATTTCTTTTTGAGTAAAATTTTTTTTTGTTATATTTGGTGAGAGTTTGGATAAAATGGTAGCATATTCAAAGGTATCGTGGAAAGTAAATAATAACGGCGGGCTATTAATATCTTCATCTTTCCAAGGTAGTAAAAAAGGGTGTAAAATACGATCGCCTCGTTCTGTTATCTATAAATTTGATACTTTTATACAATTTTGTTCAATTTTATGAATTCAAATTTTTAAAAGAAATGTCCAAATATTAATGAAAATTAATTTTAAAATTAATTTGTAAGTTAATTTGGTAACAAAAATTAATGAATGATAAAATAATTAATTGTTAGCAAAATTAAATTTTAATTGACACTGGTAAAAGCAGTAATTATTATTTAATTCAAAAATATTACTCACTGCATTGATTATTTAAAAAAGAGTTCATCACCGATAAAATGAAAATACTCGAAAAAACTTAAAACAAAAGCGTAGAAATTTGAATAATTATAGCACATTTAAGATGTAACTGCAATGATAATGCAGCGAAATATTTACTATAAGTTTACTTTATCATATCATAACTTTTCTCAGTAATAAAGAAAGAAGTTAGTTATAATTTAAATAACTTTACAAAATATTTATGGCCTACTAAAGTAATCATAGCTTTGATAAAAACTGAATGTTCTGTAATGTGTGTTTTTTGTATGCGATTCAAACAAACAAAGTAGAAAAAAGTTATCCATTCAAAAATAAATAAATTTAATATGCCTTGCAATAAATGCCTCAAAAAAAAATAGTGATAATTTTATCAGAGACTTCAAATTATCACTCGCTGAATACATCTGATAAAATAAATATTTCAACCTCTATCACATTACTGCCAGTCAATTTGGGAATATTGTCATTCTTCAAAATTACTCCGATAGTTAACCAAAATGGTATTCGATTTGCTCGATGAGAGTTACTTTCAGCTAGCAATAATATTCGGTCAATCCGATTTTCACCATCCCAATGCTTATAGAAAACACTAAATATCTAATATTTTCTTTTCAAATTCGTAATTGAAGAAAAACAACTAAAATTTAATTTAATTTTTACTTGTCAAAAAGTTACAATTTTTTGAATAATGCAAAACTGAACTGTTAGTATTTTGTATTTTCAATTTATAGTAGTCAAAACTTTTGAAATACATTAAAATTTAGTCCTCCGTAATATAAGTAATTATAAATCATTATAACTATTTTAAATTCCAATTTTCTCACTTTTGATTGTTTACATCGAAAGTAGTGAAATTATCTCCCTCAGCTAATTCATACTGTTCATTAGCCAATTTATTGAGTAATATGGAACCGTACGAAGGAGCAGCACCAATAACGAACAAAAAGCTATTATCATCGGGGGTTCGCAAAGACAGTGACTCGTTGGTTATCTATAATATTCATGAAAAAGTTTTGAATAATGAATGATAAAAGTATGACTAAAGTATCAAAACTATAATCCAAAAATGATACTAAAATAGAGTCTAAAAACTAAACTTTCTGAAATTTAATCTTTTCTATTTCAAATTGACTTTAAAAAACTTTGAATATGAATTGCTATGACATTTATTAAATTATTGATTGTATGGAAACTGCGAATACTTTTTAAAAATATTTTTGATAAATTTAGTCACTGATCATTTAAAAATACAAGACATTTGGAAAATTACTTTGGAATAAGAAAGCTCAAAAGTTTGAATCTTTAAATTTGCATAAATAATCATAAATTTGAACCTTTTGAATGCCCCCTTCATCAACAATAACGGTTCGGTTGATGAGTTGTATGGAACCAAAGCCTGGAATGAAAGTGACTTCAAAACGAACGGATTCAGATGTAACGGAAGGTGTGATCAATCGGAAAATGAAGAAATCGTTGATCACAGAATGCTGAATAAAATGCATCTTATAGCTGATTTCCTCATTATCGATATGCTAAAAAATGTAATAATTATTCATAGCATAAAAAATAATAATAAAGTAAACAAACTTCTTGATCACATTATCATTTGCATTAATTTTTTCATCTTTTTAAAAATTTCAGGTATGAAAAAATAATACACAAAATTTAGTTAAAAAATAAATACAAAATTTGATTATTTTTTTTTGTTTGACTGTAAAAATGATATAATCAAATTTATGAAAAATCTATGCATATTACTAATTGGAAAACTCAGCAGAACGACTAGATGGGAATTAAAATTTTGATTTATAAATTGAAAGTCTTCAAAGAATAATTTTGAGTGAAGTGGTAATTGTCAAAATGATTATCGGATAAAAAGTTTGACATTTTAGAAAATTTACGTGCTTAATTTTTATTCCATTGTTTTAATAGCTAACCTTTTGCGTAAAGTTTGAAGAAACTCCAATTCGCCGATTGCGGCTTTTATCAATTCGACGTAATAGTGTGCCAAACTTCGGTGGTTCAATGATATGATAAACAAGTTGATTTGTGGGGAAACTTTTTGGATAAGTCCAAGCAAACAAATTTACACGCTTGAGAGTTAAATTATCGGTGTTGTTGAGCAGGAAAGGAACACGATTAAAGATTTTTACATGAACCGGAATAAACGTGATCCGGAATGTGTGAACTACTGATGTCGTATTATCCACTCGGACCTAACAAGTTCGTTATCGTTATTTTAAAAACATGAAAATTATCTTTATCTTTTTGCATTAAAAGTAAGTTTCATTGAAAATAAATAAGTTGAATCAATACAAAAAAATTTTTTTTTTTCAAAATTTATGTAATTGTATTTTACATTCGAGGAACTTCTGTTCAGCAAACGATAGCAACAATTTAATTCAAAAGTACTCTAAAAAACAGTTATAAAAATTATTAGAAAAGTCAAAATGATGCTGTTTTCACGTTTCAAACAAAAGAATTTACATAGTAAGTAAAGTTTTTTATGTGAAAGTGTAAAACTTTTCGAAATTAATTCAAAAGTATAGCAGTAACAATTGATAAATAAAAAGTTCTGAATGAAAAGTTCTAATTTTCCACTTACTAATTACCAGCAATCATCGAAAGCATTTACTTGAAAACTGAAAAAGTCGAATGTTGAATGAGCGGCACTTGAATGTTTATATTGCACACGTGAACTATCTATATCATTTTGCGTGAACTTTGTACAGATCTCAAAATTTTTCATTTCTTGGCGGCATTCTATGGCGCCATATTCCGGTAAATTAACAATAGTATATTCTACTGGTAATCCCGGAAAATTGGTTGTAAAAGTTAAATTTTCTGGAGAAATGATAGCTGCTGTTTGATGAACCACTTCAAGGCCTATAATGAATGCATTAATTAATGATTTATAACTATATCTTCTTTATTGTTTAATTTATAATTTATCTCTTTAATTATGCTTTAAAAAAGTTATGCAATTTGACTTTGAAAGAGATATTTTTCATTGTTTTTAAGAATATAATTTCTGTATTTTTATACTTTTTAATGGATTTTTTTATTTTTCAATAAATCTTCCATTAAAAAAAATTATATTCCATTTTTTACTTACTTTTTTTTAAAGTTATTACTCAGATTTTTAGCAATTTATTCGGATGTTCAAATTATTATCTTACTTATTTTTTGCTTCATTTTTCAGTTTTTCATTAAATAAATTTGCTTATTTCAGTTTCAAGTCAACCTCGAACACATTTGCGACAATTGTGACTAACGTGAATAAAAATAACGAAAATATTAATGAACTGTAATAATTAGCAAAGGTACTAAAAGCCATTGTTTACCTGAGTTCGCTTTCAATTGTATTTCAACAGGAACAGTATTAATAGTTAATTCAATCACATTTGATTCACGATCTCCATCATCAGCAACCAGTTTCATAGTTCCATGATTTTGCATACCTTCTTGAATAATGTACACCTTAAACGAAGAAGTAATTCATGAGATATTCGCTGTCAAACAATTTTGAATTTAAATTGTTCGAAAAATCATCTTTGAACGGTTCAAATTCAATTACATTATTTGTGATATGAATGACAACTTTATTTATTCAAAAAAACAAAACAAATTTTTTATTAATTAATTATAAATTAGCAAATGAAAACCACATACTCTAAAAACACTGGTAATTAATTATATTCCATTTTTTACTTACTGTTTTTTAAAGTTATTACTCAGATTTTTAGCAATTTATTCGAATGTAATAATGCCAACAAAATGAAGGAAATTGTCTTTGAATATCAAAAATTATTAATTTTAAATTAAAATTCATTGTAAACTTGTTTGCAATCCAACAATGAAATGATATAAATATGAAATATTGGATTTATATATTTTTTTTGTGTCAAAAGTTTATGTTAGTTTCTGCATACGTCGTTATTCAGAAATTCGCGTTGAGTAAACTTCTTTATTTCTTTTCCAACTGAATTCATTAAACGGACTCCATAGGAATCGGTGACAGTAACCTTTACAGTGTCAGGATCACTATCTGCATCCCATAGACTTATTACTTGGCTATTCAACAAAAGTCTGTAACATTTTATGCTACTCAATATGCCTCCATTAAAAGTAATGACTCTGGTAGTATAAGTAATGCATAAGTCCCTTTACTTATTAATTTGAAGTAAGTGAAAAAGTAAATTACCGAAGTAAATTGGCTTATGCGCTTATTCTTACCAGATACATGATACTTTTTGTAATTCAAGCAATGTTAATTTAATATTTTATAATATATTTAATATTAATTATGAATAAAATATGCAGCCACAAAAACACGAGAAAGAATTTTATCAATAAAAAATAAATATTAGAAACTAACTTTGATTTTCCAGTTATTTTTAAAGATTCAGAATCACTTCCAAATGATAGTTTAGGTGGATCATTAACAGGAATAATGTGTACTGGAATATTACAAATAGTAGTCCATGGTTTTAGTAGCTTTGCTTGCTGTGATAAAAGCACAACCTGTAATTAACAAGTCATTAATTCTTTCGATTCAAGTTTGAAATTTTTTGCTTTCTTTAAATCAGTTAAAAATCAGTTATAATCACAAAAAAGATAATTAATGAAAAAAATACTAAAATAAAAGTAACATCAAAAAGTTATTATTACTTACCTCTAAATCAATGTTATCAATTGTCGTTTCGCTATTATCATGCTTGTAATGAACTTTACCATCTATGATATCGCTATAAGTAAAATGCTTAGTTGGCTGATTATGCATTAATAGTTGTCCATGCTGTGGTGGCTCCAATAACCTATAATAGCTTGTTATTTTTTGGCAAAATAATTTAGTTAAGTAATTAAGTATTCATACCAAATAAATTAGTGATTAGGTATAATAATAATTATTTACTGTCCCAATAGGATTAATTAAATTTGCTTTCAGCAAAAAAAAAAAACTTCAATTAACTTTGTATATAATTTGCGAAAATTTATTTCTATTGTACTTTTGCATTTTGTTATTATTTTTTGTTTCTTCTGCATGAACTGGATTTTTTAAAAATTAACTTTGTACTGTATT